ACAGACTTAGATGGAGGATATGTTGAGAAACAATTCATATTCTGATGTTTTTGTTTAAGAAAAGTTTCTATTATTTTGTAGCAGTACACTTTGACTTACCTTCATATACCTAAATAAAACTGATTAAACACACACACACCACACACACACAGAAAAAACCCAGAGGCCCCTGTAATGTCCTTCACTCTTTTCTCCTCTAACCTCCTTGTTCATGGTTCTTGCCACACTGGTCCTCCTGTTCTCTGAAGTCTGACTTGTACTGGGTTGTTGGTAAACTGGCTCTTGGGGAACAACAACAGATGTCCTGACTCTCAGCATTTGCTCATGCCTGTGATGTATATATGCCCACTGTGACTAATTTCAAGCTACCAAAGTTTTAGCAACTATCAAAACCCCTGACCATTCACAAACATTTGCCATCTACCTCCACAAGCTGGCAACCAGCATTATAGCTTTGCATAAATGAAATCCTTACAAGGTGAGATGGATTTGCTACAATAACCCCAAACATGGATTTGAACATGCCTGTGACCATGCAACTGACCCAGGACCAGGAAACATCTTGAAGAAGAGTGAGTGACACACTCAAAGTCACACAGCTGTTTAGGGACAGAGTAGGGATTCAAACCCCTAATTTTATAGGCTCTGAGTTCTGTGGTATCCTATACCATGCCTGGTATTCCACATTATGTTACTTCTGGTCCTTCAAGAAAACTCTAGGCCCTCTTCTCCAGGGACAAGTTCCTCTCACTGAGGGCTGCTGAGCAGGGTCTCTCTTACTCAACAATGGCCCATTCTTCTCCAGAACTTCAGAACTGAGAACATTGCAGTTGTCACAATTGCAACTTCAAGAGAAGACCAGAGACTTCACTGCCAGGCTGCGTGCAGTTCATACTGTGGACGCTAGAGGGAGGAAGCCGGGAGCCAACGCCATACTCTTCAGGCGAGGACGTATCTGCTGTATCTTAGAGATACAGCAGAGCTTGGTGCTCCTGAGAGTCTGAGAGAAACCAAGTTTCTTCCAGGTATGAACTTGAGTGAAACATGATCATTCTGACTAACCAGGCATCTGCCCTGGTGGTCTTCCTCTGCCAAGTGGTGACAAATTTAAGTGCAATATGACTTAGATGTCTACATATTATCATCACCTCAGCTGCAAAAAAAAAAGGATTTCCAGACTCACCCCACTCCAGACAAATGAAGCTAGAACCTCTTAGGTCAGGGCTAGGGAATTGAATTTGTTTTTGTTGTTGCTTTTAAACTCTCCAAGTGATTCTAATGTGCAGTCATGGTTGAGGACTACTAAGGTGCCCATGGATTTGTTGTAAGAATGATGAAGTCATTGGTTCTTGATTCAACATACATTTATTGAGCTCCAAATCTGGGCCAGGGGTCTTGGTGTGGTGTGGTAGGATAAGCAATGGACTTCTAACACAAGGACGGCACTTTAAAACCACCAGCTGCTTCTTGGAAACCCTATACAGGGTCTCTATGTTGTTGTTGTTGTTAGGTGCTGTGGAGTCGGTTCCAACTAAGTGGTTATGAATCGGGCTGCGAACCTTAAGGTCAGCAGTTCAAAACTGCCAGCTGTTCCATGGGAGAAAGATGAGGCTTTCTGCTCCCGTAAAGATTTATAGTCTCAGAAACCCTGTACAGGGTCGCCATGAGTCGAAACCGACTCAACAGCACTTAACAACAACAATGAGTTAGAACCAACACAAAGGCATTTAACAACAACACAGAAAAATCTGGCCCAGGTAGTGAACAAAAGCATTATCAAAAGAAAGTTTAAAACAATAAACAAGATGTGTTCAGAAATAATAATGCAAAATTTGAAGCAAATAGTGGCGGTAGAGGGCCTGGTAAGACCTCTCCTGAGGAACTGGTATTTGAGCTTGGATCTGAACAGCCAAACAGTCTGACTATCTGGGTCAGCCTGTTTCAAGCAGAACTTACCACCTTCCTGTCCGCCCCAGACAGAACGTATTGGAGGAAAAGAGAAGGAACCCAGTGTGGCTGGGTGAGGAATGGGAAAGTATAGCTGTGGAGCCTGGTAGACCAAGGTGAGGCTGTGATGGCAAGCTACTGAGGCCTTGAAGCAAGAGGAGGGATGCATAATTTGTTTTAAAAATAAATCTACGTGAACCCACAGACATTGACCTAGCATGGAGGGCCAGAGCTGAGAGTGAAGCATCCAGCTGATATGAAGCGGGAGGAGACACACAAGAACTCGGAAACTTGCAGATAGTACCCATTTGACTTAGCTTCAGATGGCTTGATGACCAGAGCTCTACTTGTTGTTGTTGTTGAGTGTCGTTGAGTCTATTCCGGCCCATAGTGACCCTGTATAGGGTTTCCAAGGAGCAGCTGGTGAGCTTGAACCGTGGACCTTGCGGTTCAAACGACTTTGCAGTCTGATGCATTAGCCCACAGCACCACACTAGGAGCCTCTACTAAAGGAAGATAAAGAAATGTGATCAAGGAAACAAGTGTAAATTGCTATAATTTGATGAACTTGACCTATACTTATGGATGTAGTAGCTCAGAATACCAACTGAGAGGGAAGGAGTCTTCACATCAAGGATCAAACCTATTCCTCTAACACAGGGTTCATAAGGACCGGTAACATAGACACTGGCAACCTAAAATGGTGGGAGAGGGTGATATAAAGGCACTAAGTGGCTGGTTTACAAGTTTTTGACAGGGAGTTTAGTTTCAGAGTGTCCTGGGGGGTAGGTAAAATCTCCACTGAATAGTTTTCATCTTGTCTAGATGGGCCTGGTGAAAGGCAATGGGGATAGGATTCATTTGATTCAATGGTGAGTAATTATTATCATGACTAATTGAGATTGTCACAATTGTCAAGGTAGAAGTTGTATAACAAAAGAGGGGAGTGGTTAATCTTACAGTCCAGGAATGGAGGACCCTAGGACCATCAAGGGAGAAGAAGAGCATGAGCGGAATGTGGGACCCTATCCAGAGAAGCAGCGACACCAGAGATAAAGGCAGAGATGAGGACATGGAGAGATAGAGCAGCTGAGGCCTCTGGATTCATGGAAAGAGAAAGGCTGTGTGCTGGCGGCCAGGAGGCAGACTTGCAGAATGTGCCCTTTGGTTGTTTAAATGATTATATATTCCTGAGTATTTTTGTACACATCAAACAACCCACAAAAAAACAGGGAATATAAGCAAATACTGTTAACCGATGGTGCATGGAGGGGATTGTAATCATTCAATGAAACAAAATATGATAAGTTGCATGCAAAAACTGATGTTTTCCCATGTAAACTATCACTCAATTCATAATAAAAGCTTTTTAAAAAAAAAAAAACATTGTGATTGCTATGTTGGAATGGATTTGGGGAAAGCAAGTAGTAAAAGCTGAGGTGTCAGTTGAGGTTGGTGGCTTGGAGGATGGAGTGCTTGATGCTTGAAGTAATGATGGAGATATAGGTTTCACACTCAGCACAGTAGCCAGTTAGTCACAAGCCCCTATAAAGTCCCTGTAGTGGTTATTCCTAGTCTCCAGTTAGTAATCAAGTCTCCTGAATGGGACCGATGGCGCCTAGAAAACCACAGAAGGGCCAGAGGCAGTGCCAGGCCAGAGGGGCAGGTACAGGGAGAAATGAAGTCCATTTGTCCAGGAGAACAAAGGGTCAGGGGTTGAGCTGAGGGCACATTGCCAGGGTTTGAGCCAGAATGGGGCCTGGACTTTGAAGTTTGAGGAGGTGAGGGAGAGGGTTGAGCCAGAGCCTAAGGCGTGGAGAGAGAGAAAGAGACAAAGAAAAGAGAGAGGAAAGGGGAGAAGAGGGAGAAAGACACAGAGGAGGCCAGGGAGCTTTCATGGTCAGCCTGTTTAAAACACCAGCCCTCTTCTCTTCAACCCATCACTTCTTCAGCTCCCTGATTGATTTTTTCTCCTTAGCAGCACCTGGCATAGCATCTATTGTATCTATTTGTATTCCTTATATAGCATCTTTGTATCTATTAGAGTCCTGATGTGATGCTGTAGGGTAAACACTGGACCACAAGTCAGTTTGAACTACAAGGTTGCAGGTTCAAACTCACCAGCTGCTCCTTGGAAACCCTATACAGAGTCACTGTGGGTCGGAACTGACTGGACGAACTAACACCACCACTACCCCTAGGCTTTTAGATAAGTTTCTCTCGCAAGTAAGTGAATCAATGAACAAGTAAACAAACATGAAAATCAATTCTAAAACTGAAAGCTCCATCTAATAGTAATCATGCTGTACTAGACTTAGCCATGGGTGACCAGGGACGTGTTACCAAGTCTACCTAAACGTGTGGATTCATCAGGGACCTCGGAGGCTCAGTAGGCAGTAAAGGACCCTTTTGCTGAGACCCAGACTTGAATTATTCGCGTCACTCTACTTTCTAGAAAGCCAGTCTGTGTACCCCTCATCCTCTTCTCAACTCAGCTTTGTTGATTTCCTTTGAGAAAGAAGTCCTCGGCCCACAAACTGCACAATGGAATTACATGGGAGGCTTAAGAGAAACAGGAAAATATTGACAATATTTGGAGAAAATGTGTTTAGAATCAAATGGGATGCAGACAAGGTAGTAAGTTCCCCATTAATAAGAGCATTCAAACAGAAACTGGAGGAGCGTGAAGTAGAAGCAGTTTGTGGAGGGTGCCCTGGAAGGCTGGACCATCGTCCCTGAGATGCTCCCCTTAGGATTTAAGTGTGACCTCATTTCTGCCAAGGCCTCACCCAGTGGCTGGGGTGTCAGTGGTCTTGAGTAGCTTGCAGGTGAAATCCATTTCCCACTACTGTGAATGGGGCCCTGGGGCTGACCTAACCCTTTGTCCCTCCTGCTCTCATACTGTTGCCAAGCTGTGGACACTGCTGGGAGGGTGGTGAGCAGTGCTCAGGCGGGATTCACACACACAGACTAGTGGGAGGGGTGATGACGCGGTGCCAGGCACCTGTACTGATAAGGCCACCTGCTCCTTCACTTGCCCCCACAGGATGGACATGGAGCTGCTCTGGGCGCCCTTGCTGTTGGTGGCTTCCTGTGTGTCTGCTGTGCAGGGCTCCCCAGAGGTGGACACCATGGAGGCCAGCATCAACCTGTCCCGGCCCCTGCACATCTGGGAGGAACACAACTTGCTGGTGTTGACGGCAGCCGGCCTGACCCAGATGTTGAATCAGACCCGATTCCTCATGGTGCTTTTCCGTGAGTGTCTCCTAAGTTCCGACCCTGGGTGAGGGATGTAATGAGGTCAGTCTCCTTGCTTCTGGGGGCCAGAGGAACTCTCTGTGTTGCTGAACACATGAGAACACATACGCTTACTATATAAAAAAATTAAAAGTATTGTATAATTGCACCCCTTATTTCCAGATAAGACTATGGAGTACCAGGGATGCACTGCAATTTGAAAAAGACACTGCGTCTTACGTCTGGAATTTAAGGTAGTTCCTCTCTCCCAAGGAAGGTAAAGACTGAGGATTTTCCCTCAGGTGTCTTGATCTTTCCGAACCTGAGTGCTCCTTTAAAATGAGCATTGAAATGACAATCATGCTAGATTATCATGACAATGAGAGGAGGTGATGTGATAAATCCCTGGAACACAATGAGAGAGCAGTAAATGGTGGTGGTTAAGGGTAAATTCAGAGTCCAGGTGTGGCGCTGAGGAATAATGCCCTGGACTGCAAGGTTGGTTTGAACCACAAGGTCAGAGGTTCAAACTCACCAACCGCTCCTTGGAAACCCTATGCAGGGTTGCTATGAGTTGGAACTGACTCCAAGGCACTTAACAACAACAACATGGGTAAGTTCTAGAGAAAGGGATTTTAGCCATCACCTTTACCATGTGAACTTTGCACCCCACTTTCATTCTTCAAACTTTGTATCAGCAGACATTTGTGGGGAGGAAACAACCTGTTGCTCATGGAATGGGTTGGCACAGCTGTGCTTTGCACCAGGACAAACCGTTGTTGTCAAATCAAGTCTGACGCACAGGGGTCCTAGAGGACAGAGTTGTTGCTAAGTGCCCTCAAGTTGATTCCGATACATAGCGACACTGTATAGGGTTTCCAAGGAGCAGCTGGTGAGCTTGAACTACCGACCTTGCAGTTCAAATGGCTTTGCAGTCTGGCGCACTAACCCACAGTGCCACTGAGTAGAACTGCCCAATGGGCTCTCACGACTGTAATCTTCCCATCTGATTTCCTCTGAGCAGCTGGTGGGTTCGAACCATCAACATTTCAGTTAGCTATGAGCACTTAGCCATGGCACTGCCAGGGCTACCTCCTTAGGCCTGCAAATAAGTGATTTTTCCAACAGTTTTCACATAGTATTTATTATATGCCGGGACTGTCCTAAAATTCATTTAATCCTCACAGCTACCCTGTGTGGCAGGCATTACATTTAGTCCTGCCTTAGCAACGATCTCATTAACCAATATTTCACATTTATGACAATAATAAAAAATCTCCTCTCCAACTGTTTGGTGCATTCACTGTGTTCAGCAGCAGTACTACATGATGAGGTGTGAGGTAGGAGTAATGCTGGCAGTGATAATGAGACTTATAGACTTATATGTCACTTGGGCTGGGTCATGATGCTCAATGGTTATGATGTCATCATCCTCTGTTTGTAATCTGATGTAATGGTAATTTTTCTGTGTAGTGATGATTTTTCTATGTAATGGTGATTTTTGCATAGCAACCTGGTCTTTAGAATTTAACCATGTTGTTAAGTGAAGAGTGGGTGTATTCTTGCCAATTTATAGCTGGAGAAACAGAGGCTTACAGAGGTCTAGTGAGTTGTCTAAGATCAGACAGCAAGTGGTGGCCGCAGACCGTGTTCCACATGGAAGGAATCCAAGGATGCAAGAAACAAGCATGAGCACTAGCTTCCAAAACCCTGACTTCAGAGCCACACCTGGCCCAAAAGTCTGTGGAATTGTGATTGTTGACTTTACTGTTTATCAAGGGCCCTATGCTAGGAACTGGTAAATCCTGAAAAGTTCCTCTTAACCTGAATCATCATCCACCCTTCTTGGTCCTTAAGTGAGATCAAGGTTTAGTGTAACAACAATAGCTAAAAAGATGGTGGTGGTTATGTGTCACGGACTTGGTTTCAACTCATAGAGACACCCTGTGTAGGGTTTCCGAGGCTGTAAATCTTTGCGGGAGCAGAAAGCCTCATCTTTCTCCCACAGAAGTTTCAAGCTGCTGACCTTGAGGTTAGCAGCCCGACTCGTAACCACTACACTACCAGAGCTCCTTAAAAAAGATGGAGGCAACCTAAACAGCCATCAACTGAGGAATGGCGAAGCAGACTCTGGTTTACGCACATAATGGCACTGTAGGATAAACACTGGACCACAAGGTCAGTGTGAACCTCAAGGTCGGTGGTTCTAACTCACAGCCCCTCCTTGGGAACCCTATACAGGGTCGCTATGGGTTGGAGCAAACTCAACTGCGCTCAACAACAACAATAACAAGGCAACCTTAAAGAATAGTGGAGAATCTGTGAAATACCTCATGACGTGGATGAATTTGAAGGGCATCATGCTGAGTGAAATTGATCAATCCCAAAAGGACAAATATTGTGTGAGATCACAAAAAAGTCAAAGAAAGCTTAAAAGAAACATTTTTGATGTTTACCAGGGGATGAAAGCTGAAAGGGGGAGGTAAATTATTTGGGGGGGGGGCGGGGAAGGTTTAACATAAAATATATGGGGTTTGGAGCCAGAGGAGCCTGGGAATGAAACCCAATTCTTCCATGAGGTACCTTGAGTAACTTCTTAGTGTCTCACTTTAGCTGCAAAGTAGGAATAATGAAAGTGGAAGACTCATAATGAAGGTGTAGGGCTCACTGTAGGGTTCACCAGCTCATGGCTGTGAAGGACCACCTGAAAGATGCTTAGCAGATGGTACTTCCAATCCGGGAGCATCTGAACAGTTGCAGTTATGTTGGATCAGTCAGGACTGGGTTCCGCTGCAAGTAACAAGTCTGTTGTTGTGAAGTGCCGTCGAGTCAATTCCAACCCATAGCGACCCTGTATATGGTTTCCAAGGAGCAGCTGGTGAGCTTGAACCACCGACCTTGCAGTTCAAACAACTTTGCAGTCTGACACATTAGCACACAGCGCCACACCAGGACTCCAACGAGTCTGTTAGTGGTGGCTTAAACCCAAGAGTTTATTTCATGCACTATGTAGCCCCAAGACAGGCAGTCAATGACAGGTGTAGCAGCTCCACAATATCCAGGATCCAGACTCCTCCTACCTCTTCGCTCCACCATCTTTAACATGGTGTGTCTCATGGCTACAAAGTGGCTGCTGCGTCACAGGCATCACACATTCTACCTAGGAAAAAAGGGAAAAGGGCAAATAGCAAAGGGACAAAAGTCATGTCAGCTAAGTGTATCTCTTTAAAAAAATAAAACTTTTCCAGTAACTCCAACTAGTTCTTTCTCTAACTTAGGAGCTTCTAGGGTTGAGGAAAGGAGTCCTAGTGGTGCAATGTTTAAGTGCTTGACTGCAAACTGAGAGGTCTGTGGTCCGAACCCACCAGCCACTCTCCAGGACAAAGGACCTGGCAGTCTGCTCCCATAAAGATCTATATATGTGGGGACCTTTGGGGGCAGTTTTACTTAGAAGTCCTGGTGTGGCGCTGTGGGTTAATGTGCTGGACTGCAAAGTTGGTTTGAACCACACGGTTGGCTTGTCAATACAGGGTCACTATGGATCACTGAATGGTTTAAAATTAAGAAAGGTGTTCGATGGGGTTGTATTCTTTCTCCATACTTATTCAACCTGTATGCTGAGCAAATAATCTGAGAAGCTGGGTTATATGAAGAAAAACGTGGCATCAGGATTGGAGGAAGACTCATTAAC